TCCATGTCTATCTTATATATACACAGATCTTTCAGAATATATAGATGTTCAGGTCCAAAAAGTTTAGGTTTAAAGAGTAGGGCTAAAATTTCGACTCGAATTTTCGGGAAAGATTTGAACTTGAGATTCCGAAGCCGTGTTTGTGGATCGGACAAGATATCGCCGCGTTGCAGCGAAGTCAGAAGTTATTTACATAATTTAGTAGAAAATATTTACATAATTATTCTTGTGATATACATAATAAATTGTAAAGCACATTTTCACCTTTCTGCCGGAAATCGTGCGATTAATGCGAGTGACAGTGCGGATTGTTTGTTCCGCGTCTCTCTGTTTCCATGGCGCTAGGTTTAAGGTCGCGTATCCGGATGAATATTCCGGCATTTATTCGCTCATTTATACGGGCAATTTGCGTCTCTTCCGTCACGCAAATCGGATGAATTGAGGCGCGCTTTCAAGTAATATTTGCGAGCTAGCGGCGCATCGTGTTACGTTTCAGAACACGTGGTCTGTCGGATAGCAACGATCTGTCGAAGCGACGAGTGGTGACGGCGACTGTAGCCGGGCAAAGCACTATCTACGCGTGAACGATTATCGCACTCGTTTTCCTCTACTATGACGACTTCCGAGCGGCGCGACACGCGATGTATCGCGACAATATAAACACATTCTCGCGACGATGACGGCTGTCCGAGAGTTTCGCATTTTTCTCACTTTCTCGCGAAGGCTCGTTTACAATGCGCGGAGTGAACTTGGCGTGAACTGGAGTAAGAAATAAAAATAATTTATTTTGCTTACGTCTCACTTCTCTCTCTTTGCTCTTGCTTCCTTACACCGGAAATATTTCTCTTAAGTGAGAATTTCGCATAAGCGAAACAAATTATTTTTATTTCTTACTCCAATTCTCACGTTAAGCTTACTACGCATATTGTAGACGAGCTTTTATGGACATCTGTTTGCGTGACGATACAGTATGCGATAATGGTTGATAATGCTTCCCGATCTCGGTTCCGATTTTTTCCAGTTTGACAGAATATATCATATATCAGAATATTATAGAATATTTGAAGTGTGTGTGTGTGTGTGTGTGTGTATATATATATATATAATTAATTTAATCACGGATCTTGCTGTGAAATTTAAATTTTTGTATCTTTCTTCTTTGGACCGTGTGACGTTCTTATTCTTTTTTTTTGTTAAAAAAAATTTTATGGCATACAAGTGAATTTTATATAAATTTTCGCTAATACCAGAGTAAACAAAACGTTACTTAATAAAAGCAAAGTAAAGGCGAACTTGACGAGTTTCTTAGGGATCTCCCTAAGCGTCGGTTACGCCGCTGATCGCAAACGGCGTGACGAGGCGCAGAAATACGCGATGCGGAAACCTCCTCGTCGCGATCGAACGCGCTTCCGGTGCGTTCTCTGTCCTTCGATCCCCGCGGATCCCCGCGTAAGGAATCGCAAGCGGCGTCGCGGTTGCGATTTTTCCTGTCGCCGCTTCCGCCGCGCGATTTGCGAAGCGATCAACGTCGCCATCGTCGCCGCCGCTCCTTTCTTCATCGCGCCGGAAAAGAAGAACGTTGCGAGAAACATACGGAGCGGAACCGCAGATTTCGGTGTCTTTCTGGTATTACCTTTCATGGGGGAGGGGGGGAGTTCAGAAAGTCGTGAGAATCGCACGACTGTCGCCTCTCGATAATGCATTCTGATTGATCAAAATCGTTCCGTTGATCTTGTTTCTCACGAATATTCGATGACATCACGGATTTCTCATACCTGGAAGTGAGATCTTCGAATTTGAGGATCTTATACTTCCGAGATTTTCTGTTATATAGCATTTGCCAATATGAATAATTTCAGTTATAAATCTAATAAAGGAATTGACAATCACCCGGTCAGGTTCAAATTTTACTCGCGAGACACTCGATCCCATTCGTGGTATTCGATGAAAAATGAGGGACCGATGTCACGAGAGGCGGACGTGACGTAAATTTACGCGCGGAGACGACGTTCATCTTTCTCTCTCTTTCGACACCGCCTCAAGTAGCCGCTTTAATTAGCCGCGTGGCAAAAAATCGCCGGCCGAAAGGAGCACCTGTGAGTAAGGCCACTCGCGTACTCGGCATTTAAGGCAGTGGGGAGGAGACCGAGGAGACGAGGATTTCCTGGTGCGAGACAACGGCACATCGACCTTCGCATGCCCGAGGTTCCTACCTTCTTCCCTCGGGGCATTTCTCTCTCTCTCTCTCTCTCTCTCTCTCTCCCCCTCTCTCTCTCTCTTTCTCTCATCGAGTGAGCACCGCGTCGCATTGTGCCGCTGTGAGCTTCCTCCGATTATTTTTCAAAGTGTCACGAAGGATTCCTGCTGGAAATATGCCGGAACCTCGCCAGATCGCGAACGAAAACGAGCCGAATGGCGAACCGGTTCTATTCCCGGAGATATTTCAAGTCAGTATTGCACCTCCTTGTCGAAGATTTAATTAAACCGTTTTTGTTTGCGATCCTCTTTCTTTAATTCTTATTTGCGCTGTAAATTTATGCCGGCCAAATAAACTGAAACGCGCGATCGAATGGAAAATACATCGTGTATGTTACATTGCTCTTTTTTTCCCTAAGTTTCACTGAGGCAGATCGTTTTGAGAAATATTTAAATATATAGATGATGACATTCTCCATAATTGATAACAATGAATTGCGCACGTACACACTCATTCGCACACACCCACGCGCACAAATTCCGTCCACAATTCCGTGGAAATTATTCCGTACGCATTTTTATGCGCCTGTGCTGTGCACGGCGCTACGTTTCGGACGCTTAATTTCCAATTATAAGTCAGTTATTACGAGACGCATTTATCGCAATCTGTTTTCAATGTCCATCGCAATGTCACACCGCGGCCAACGCGCAAGAAATTAACGTAATATGTCGCGACGTTATGCGCATCCGCGGCGGTCCGTGAATATAATTACATCTAATCGAGTACAAGGATTATAAGCATACGATTACCATATAGATAGCGTAATTACTGGGAAGTCAGGCATTTTATAATACCGGCCTGATTCTATTTCTTTTTTATTTACGCGCTGACGTAACGTGACGCGGAGCGTTCCGCAATAAATACGACGAGGTGCGCTCATCGAAAAACACAATGGATGCAAATGAAGCGAAAGTAAGGGCGATTTATTTATACGATATAGGGGATAATATAAAAATACTAAAAAATAGAGATATAATAGAGATATTCGCGAAGATAACTGTCCTCTTGGGAGAGAACTCAAGGTGAGGTACTAGACGAAAAATGTGTCATCGCGATTAAGAAGCGATGTTCAATCTCGTTCAATCTGGACCCGCCGCGATCGCAAATCCCGATGAACCTTCTAACTCGGAATGTACGAGCGCGCCTCGTCTTGCGGACGGAAACAGAGAATTTGGACGTTGACCGAGCACGCGGTGAGGAGCCTGTCGGGTCTTCGCAAGTCCCGGGAACGGAAATAGCTCCGTCGACGTCGATGGAAATACGTTATGTAAATCCGCGTTTCCTGCCGGCTTTCATTCTTATGCCCCCACATTCTATGCTAATAGTCGATGAACGTCTGCGAACCGGTCGTCGCAAGAGAGAGAGAGAGAGAGAGAGAGAGAGAGAGAGAGAGAGAGAGAGAGAGAGA